TAATCCATGCAGTCCAGGTTTTTGTACAATCGTATGCAACAAGAGAAGATATGGCAGTTTCACAAGAAGCTAACTTCAGTATTACCGCCACGCTACCGTAACCCAAAGCGGCGCCCAGTTAATTGTAACTCCGCAGTGGACGTACGTATAACACTGAACTTTACGCCAGTACCACTACGAGAATTATGCTGAAGGCTTGCATATACCCAGCGTATGCCAACAATAGAACCTCTAGGTCGAGACATATCATATCGCACGTTGACCATACTACGCTTACAACGCATTTTCTAGCTATTTGCAATTGGAGAATAATTACATGAATATAAAAGCCGAATTACTTTTAACTTACTCCTGATCAGAATATTTTTTACAAGTGGTTTCCCAACTTATCGCATGAAATTTCACTGCATGCTTAGTGATTGGAAAAGCGAAAAACGTCACTATCACTAGACATAAAAAGTAGTGATCTGATTACTGACATGACATTTTTCGTGACGATACCATTTGGCGCCAGTTTGGTGCAACTACAGTTCAGACTCAGTTCGCTACAGACTGGTAGTTAGATTGGAGAGGTAATCCAGGGTCTCGAGTGCAAACACGACTTGGTTCTTAGTGCTGACAAGAAACTTCAGGGTCAGGATAGTGACTGGCAGTACCAAATACTCCTGTAGACAACGTTTTTGGTGGCAAGTGTAAGAGAATTTCCTCATATCTGTGCCCAAGCAGTGCCCGTCTCAACTTTTGCTCTCTAGTTTCCACATTAAATGTTTGTTCTACTTCAGTGGATGATTTCACTAATGTAGCTAGGTTTTGTGAAAAAAAATTATTCCCAGGTTGAAAAGTCGTAGTTGTGAACGTGACCAACTACATGCAAGTACCACCTGTTCCACCTTTCGAGGCGATGAGGCTAATAATTCGAACGCAGTACCACCTCAATTTAATGTTTACTTTAGCGAGCTTTGAAAGCCGTTTCTATCCCACACTGATTAACACCAAGCGTGCAACACCACCAAAGTGCTTGAAGCAAGAGTAACAGAAAGATAGATCAGGCCTATCCTTACATCGAAGTCCTCACAGCGACATCCGAAACACACCAGTCTTCTTCCACCCAGACAAAGGAAATTATCGGCGTAGTTTCAATGCCCGTGCTGATGTTTTCAACGCACCTACGACAGACGGACAATTCAAAGGACGCTGCCTTGGGTTACGGTACAGTAAGTCGGTTAATTACTGAAGTTAGCTTCTTGTGTAAGATGCTTGTCCCGAATTAGCACGACCCAGCCCACAGGTTGCACTATCTAATCCATTGTTATCAAGGCGCAACAATAATAATTAATAATAATAATAATAATAATAATAATAATAATAATAATAATAATAATAATAATAATAATAATAATAATAATAATAATAATAATAATAATAATAATAATAATAATAATAATAATAATAATAATAATAATAATAATATAAGCGAGAGCAGCGAATCAAACATGGGCAGACATAAGTTTCATTACCAAGTGCTCACATAACTGCCGATAGAGTCCCCATTGAGGGTATAACTCGTGATCCATTGTGAAGCAGTTTAATAACACTGAGCACCTTGCCACTTCCAGTCAATGTTCTCAAGGCGATTAAGTGGGAGTTTTATGGAATCTAGAGAACTACGAGAAAGCCGACTTATCCGATCTCGAGGAAAGCTTTTTATGTCGCTTTAGCTTAGACCTTGAAAGCTGAAATGATGTGCAATACACAAAGCGCGTGATAGCGCGTTGAGAATGGCATGATAATAGTGCTATGCTAAATGAGCAATTGTGGAATCCAGTGCAAAGCAGCGAGTTGCCGCGAGTGCAATCGAGATTTTAACTCAAAACATTCAGATGAGGAAGTTGGATCACGAAAACGTTAATCGATTTATTGGGCTTTCAATTGATGGCCCTGAGTATGTGGCGATTTGGCGGATGTGCACCAGGGGCACACTACAGGTCAATCTCTACAACACTTCTTTTCCATCTAAACCAGCAAATGCATTTTAATCTTTACTGTTCTTTTTAAGGAACTGATTTCAAAAGGTTCGCTGTGGTTTGACCCTTTCTTCATGCTGTGCATTATGAGGGATATTGCCGAGGTAGTACATTGTGAAAGAGATTTCGATTGTGAATCAATCCAAAACTTTCATATTATAGGGTCTCCGTTTTCTGCATGACTCATTCATTGTGTCCCATGGTCGGCTTAGTTCGGAATGTTGTTTAGTAACTGACAGCTGGCAAGTTAAAATATCGGACTACGAAATAGGGTCATTGCGAGAAGATGATCGTCTCAAGAAAAAACGTGAACACTTACTTTGTTTGTACTTGCGCAGAAATTAGCGAAAATGCTAAGGTCAACGCAGAACATTGCGCAAATCCTTTTCATAGTTTCTGCCTAACTTTATTTACACGTAAACGGAGCGTGTAATGATTTCAACAGGAGGATCATGCAGTCAAATCTGTTTTACAACTGCGCTGAATTTGACTGATGCTAGAGTGGTGCACCATTGAGTGTGTAACACCAATCAGACAACAACGAATTTTGGGAACCACGGGTTCCGGGGAAACGTCCAAGGGCAAGGAGGATCTCAAACAGTTTGATGACAGGATAGTGTGATGATTTGACGACAGGCTATTGCGGAATGAGCAATTCGAATCATTATGATAGAAGAGCGTTCGCCTAAAGAAAGTTTAATTGCGATTGATTGCATACTTATTAAGGATGCTGTCGTTTTACGGTTGCCTGACGGACACGGACACCATCTTGGAGAAAGCCTGGGAAGACGGTGTAGAGCAGCATGCGCGCGGTGGCGGTAAATAAAAAAGCTGAAACAAGCGTTTTGTAAAAGTGGAGTATATATTAGGTCATCCCATTCAAAAGTGCCGAGACATATAGAGGAATGGCAGAAAAGCAAAGGGGATAGAGCAGCGGGCTACTATACCATTTGGAGGCTAGTACCTTTAGCTGTGTATCTGTGAAATTTGGCGAACCTACCCACAGAAGTTCTCGAGAAATTGAAAAGAAGCCTGAGTGGTGAAAATCAGCGCCGGATTTTCAAATCAGGCGTCATAAGAGGGAAGTGCGCTGCTCAAATTTGACCTGCGCCGGACCAGTAGTTGTGTGTAATGGTGTTCTCGAAATGCAAGGTGGAAGGTTTGGTTCAGGAGCCCGAAGAAGGAAGAAAGGAAAAAATTTGTTGTCGTGGATGGTCCCATAATGTTCATCCTGCACAAGAAAAAAGGGTGGATGAAGTCAAGCGCTGAATGTCTGATCACAGAGCCTGGACCTTTGTCGAGCTTCCCCGCGAGACGCACACTGACTCCCGTGCTGCAACTCGCTGCCGGGTATTCCTAGTAAATAAGGGTTGCTGAAGATGAGTGTGCGATACGTAATTATTCTTGTAAGACACGAATGCATACCGATTCTATCTGCCTCTAGCACTAATGGGTACTCAGCATGAGATGTCTTTTCACGACGAGCGCGAAGACTAAACGGACAAATCGTCAACTCGAGCATCCGCGCGCGCAGGTCCCCGGCACGATACCCTTGGAGACGAACGCGCGCGCTTCAACGATACGCACAACAACCAAGTATGAAAAGCGCTCGTATTTTGCACAATCGAAAATCAGGCGCGCACCTGACGAATTTTAGAGGAAGCAATTAGATGTTTCAATTCGAAATGCTTTGAATGACTTGCACAATGTTGGCTATTATAATGTACACTTAATTAGCAAAATCACCCATTCAAGAGCGAAGTGAACCCTTTTGATCTCCAGTGTGTGTAATCACTTTTCAGATGTCAGCCACTGTAAGGAATATAGAAAGTATAGAAAGAAAGATTTGACCCCATCGAGTTGGTTGAGTATGGCGACACTTTCTATAGTGTAGAAAGTCTCGCCATACTCAACCAACTTGATGGGGTCAAATCCAAAAGCTGGCCAAAATGCTTCACCAGAACGGCTCCACTGAGTCAACCGGGAATTATCTGAACCAACCCGTTGAAAGTTCAAGGCATAAATCAAAGAGTACACCTCCTGCAACCGTTTCCCCAGCTAGAGTACTTTGTCAGAAGCGTGTGCCCCATGCTTCGCATTGCTGAAGGCGCACTGTATATATCACCGACAAAATGTTACACTCTAATGTGGCATGTAACTGCAGAACCCGCAAAATGAACGTGCCAAATTGCTTGGTTTGCTGCGACAATGATGAAGTGTACAGAGGCTGTTTCCAGCTGCTTCCTGCAGATCTTGAAGAAGCCGTTTCGAGCGCAGATTGCTTTAAGTTAACACGTTGGCGACAGGTGC